TAAAAAGATAGTGAAAGAAAATGAGACAAGAACAAAAATTTAAGTTTTCTTGAAAGCATGTGGCAATATTCAATCATATGCCCCATCTTGCATAACTATATCTGATAATCTGAGCAACAGATTTGATGATAAAAATAGATAATATATCAATCATTGTTAATCAGCTATTCTTGTTTTGAAAATCTGTAATGTATATATTGTGATATGTTACCCTGCTTTTGTCTTTGTTTTTGTTTTTGCTTTTCTTGCTCTTGTTTTTACTTTTCAAAATAAAAGAAAATTATAAAAAAAGAAAGCTGAAGCTACAAGGTATATTGTTGTGGAACAACCACCTTGTTCTGAGTTTCCAGATAACTGAGACAAGCACAACGTAACTGAAGGGAGACTGTTGGAGGGGTCCACTCCGATAATTTACATCTATGTACAGTTTCTCAGCATCTTCTTAAAAAGGAAGAAGAAAATTTCTATGGAGAGTCACATTGGGGGCCGGGGGTATAGCTTGGTGGCACAGCTCCTGCCTGGCAAGCCCAAGATCCTGAGTTTGGCTCTTGGTACACAAGCAAAAAAATACAACTTCCCCTGAGAAAAACCCAAAAAACAAAACAAACAAAAAAAATGAGAGAGAGAGAGAGAGAGAGAGAGAGAGAGAGAGAGAGAGAAAGAGAACAATTTCAGGTCCTTCTCCCTGTCCAAGAAGCCAATATTTGTAATCCTAAAGTTACGTTATTGGAATCCCATCAAATTGATTTTAATCTACCGCTTACAATGCAACCCACAGCAAAAATAAAGACACTAAATTATATCTTCAATCATTGGAGAGTCAAGGGGCTCTAAGTCCAGCCATGAAGATGGTTTTTCTGGAACCAAAAGAGTGACCCAGGGCCTCACCCAGTTTTATTCAGTGGGGGAGTGGCTTGAGGATTGACTGAGAATAGTGAGAAAAAGACTACTATGAGCTGAGCTAGGTGGGTGGCCTAAATTTACCTCTGCAATATGCAGAGAGGATATGCAGAGAGAGTAATCTGCAGTATATAGTATCTAATGTTTTGGTAAGTCTGGTGCTTCAGCTTTGGTGTAGCCTTTCAAGCCCCAGGAAGTTATGGCCTCTGTCTCAAGGCTTGATCCCAGCTGGTGCCGTGGAGCATTAGCTCTAGCGTCCTGTCTCAACCTGGCTCACATTAAAGAGCAGCAGGTATAGGTTACAGGGAAACACGCACACCACCTTCAAAAACTATCACGAGCACCTCAGCTAGACCAATACACATTGCTTAAGGCCAATTGAAGGATAAACAGCAGTCCTAGCCAGCTCTGTACATAACAGTATGAGGAAATAGGGTCAGGCTCAGTCAAAATGGAGACAGTCGCTCTTCTTTCAAGGAGAACTGCTCAGGTGGTCCTCCAGAGAGAGAGAGAGAGAGAGAGAGAGAGAGAGAGAGAGAGAGAGACAGACAGACAGAGAATTAGGATTGGGATTGGGGTTGGGTTTGGGGTTGGCATATAAAGGCCATCATCTTTTTTTTTTTTTTTTTTTTTTTTTTAAAGGACATCATCTTAATTCTGATTAGTTAGCATCCCCTGAGTACCAACTATTTCTCAA